GGAGCTGTTAGCCTGAAATTAAGACAAGGAAAGGTTAGTACACAGTCAATACGGAAGCAAATCAGTAAAGTATGTATATGAACTTTACCGCCGGCGGTTTATTGGAGACGCAAAACGGAGCCAAACCGGTTTGACTGCATGTAGAGATCGGTTCATCAAGCATCTTCTTCACACATTCGGCGATTTCAAGGTTGGTCATTATTACTTCGTGATATCGTTGAGGGTCTTTTACATTGCCAGTATATTCATGCATCAATTCGGGGCAGCGGCTCAAAGGCAAAATGCCCCAAGAAACCCAGCAGCGGACAAGATCAATGTCAGTCAAACCGTTGGCCATCAGAGCCCGGATCTTGGCAAGTTGAGGAGCAAAATTCTTCCGTTCTGCGGCGGTTAAACGTGGAGGCAATGGGTGGCCATTGCTAAGCCGATGAGGGCGGTAACCCGGCAAGGGATTTTCTCTGTTAGGAGCAGTGTTCCGGCAGTTAAACCAGGTCTGGTTCCAATCTTTAGGATGGCTATGGTGTTTGGCATGAGGGAAATCAACTTCTTTCCTTTTCTGAATTGACACGCCTCCAAGCTCTATGTTGGGACCATCTGAAAATTCTGTATGGCGGTTCAGATGAAAGAAATCCCGGAACAGCTCCACGGTTGGCTCTTCTTGAAGGTAGACTTTGCAGAATACTTGAAAGTTGCATATGTTTGACACAGAGTTCGGACCAATATCTTGCGGATGGAGTTGAAAGCTTGTGAGGACATCCCGGAAATTTTTTGATCCGGGCGGACTCAATCCCCGGTCTAAGTGTTGCATAAAAACAATCACCTCTCCTTCTTGAGGTTCAGGTGGACATTCCGATTCCGGAACTCGCCAGTGAAGAACCCTTTTTGAGGCTAAGGCACCAGTGCTGACATAACCATTGATCTGTGTCTCCGTGATCCGGGACGGAACCCAATTGCAAGCAGCAAATTGTTTCGACATTTCGGAAAGAGGAACTGAAAGGAAAAATTTCCGGTTTAAAGATTTACGGTTTAAGGTGTATAATGCAGTGTTAAACTGGGGAAAAACACTATGTAAGGTTCAGTTGGCGGTTTAAGAGAGGGCTAATGATATATGGCGGATTGACTATCAAAGGGTTAAACTGCCTGTAGGCAGAAGGGTCAGAACTCAAAATTTCGGCTAAGTATTGACAGAAACAGGTTTCACATAATGGTCAAATTTATTTGGATCTACCACACATCCATAAAGCAATTTTCTCTGTGAGCTCTAAAGGTGCTAAGTAGAGCAGGGAAGGCCATGTACTCTACAGAGGTAAAAGAACGATCTGCTGGCATTAAAAATGGACGCGGAGTACCTACCGCATGAGATCTACACTGTTATTGGATCAAAATTGTCTCGGCAGGAGGAAGAACAAAGAAGGATGAAGAACTATGCAGAGGAGCTCGCAAACCCTAGAAACAGATCTAAAGATGAAGGAAAGAGGAAGTTTACCACTGCAGATCTGCTGCGGAGGAGGGCAATGAGTTTCTGGTCCGTTTCAGGTTGATGCAGCGGCCTTTGTCGATGCAGTTCTCGAAGGTCGCGGACGGCGGCGGAGCTTCAGAGTTTCGGCATCGCGAGAAAAGAAGAAAGCACAGAAGGGGAAAAAGATAGGAGGGCCCTCGGGCCTTATTTATAGAGGAGAGAGTAAAACGGTAGGCGCGGGAATCAAGGAGCCCGAAACGGCAGAATGAGTGCGTTTGTCGCCTTGATTTTCGGGATAACCATTAAGTGAAGGGAATCTTTTTAATTTTTGTTTACAGAGATGATGTCAGGATGGACCGTTGCTGTGTTCAGAAGATGACGTCACAGTGGTTTACAAAATTACAGAAGAAGACAATATGGCGGTTTACGAAAAAACAAGAAGATACCTGCCAGAGATCTATGAAGTATTGAAGATTGACATGAACAAAGTCAAATCAATCTGGGGCCTAATGTTGAGGATATAGCTGCTGAGTGTAAACCGGCCAGGAGGGCCCGGTTTACCCTCGACTATGTTGAAGCCCATGAAGATGCAGAAGATGGCGCTTTACTAAATGAAGCCTAGAAGCCAGAAACCCAAAGGCGGATTAGGGCCCATATTGGTAAACTGCCATGACTATGTAAACTTGTAATGTAAGTTAGGAAAGGAGAGACCGAGCCGGACACTTTGTATGAGTCGGCCTCAGGGCTCTGTAAACCGGCCGGGCGTCAACCTGTGTATATAAAGGGACGACCCGGCGGCGGTTCAGGGACAATGGAGAACAACTCGAGACTCAGGCCAACGTGTTTTGCTCCCTGATCATCGAAACCCAATCAATCCCATCACAACTAGACGTAGGCTTTTACCTTCATCGAAGGGGCCGAACTAGTATAAAACTCCCATGTCCCTTGTCCGGTTTAACCCCTTCAAGCTAACCCGTTGTGATGGCTCCACGACTAAGTCCTTTCACGAGGACATCTGACGTGATAATTCCACGACAGTCATCATCAACGATCCTCTCATCGGGAGGGGGTCAATCTCCATCAACATCTTCACCAGCACCATCTCCTCTCAAAACCCTAGTTCATTTCTTGTATCCAATCTTGTATCAAAACCACAAATTGGTACCTGTGGGTTGCTGGTAGTGTTGATTACTCCTTGTAGTTGATGCTAATTGGTTTACTTGGTGGAAGATCATATGTTCAGATCCTTAATGCATATTATTACTCCTCTAATTATGAACATGGATATGCTTTGTGAGTAGTTATGTTTGTTCCTGAGGACATGGGTGAAGTCTTGCTATTAGTAGTCATGTGAATTTGGTATTCGTTCGATATTTTGATGAGATGTATGTTGTCTTTGCCTCTAGTGGTGTTATGTGAACGTCGACTACATGACACTTCACCATTATTTGGGCCTAGAAGAAGGCATTGGGAAGTAATAAGTAGATGATGGGTTGCTAGAGTGACAGAAGCTTAAACCGTAGTTTATGTGTTGCTTCGTAAGGGGCTGATTTGGATCCATATGTCTAATGCTGTGGTTAAGTTTACCTTAGTACTTCTTTTGTAGTTGCGGATACTTGCAATAGGGGTTAATCATAAGTGGGATGCTTGTCCAAGTAAAGGCAGTACCCAAGCACCGGTCCACCCACATATCAAATTATCAAAGTACCGAACGTGAATCATATGAGCGTGATGAAAACTAGCTTGACGATAATTCCCATGTGTCCTCGGGAGCTCTTTTCTCATTATAAGAAATTGTCCAGGCTTGTCCTTTGCTACAAAAAGGATTGGGCCACCTTGCTGCACTTTATTTACTTTCATTGCTTGTTACCCGTTACAATTTATCTTATCACAAAACTATCTGTTACCTACAATTTCAGTGCTTGCAGAGAAAACCTTACTGAAAACCGCTTATCATTTCCTTCTGCTCCTCGTTGGGTTCGACACTCTTACTTATCGAAAGGACTACGATAGATCCCCTACACTTGTGGGTCATCAGGGCACTTTTTGATCATTAGCTCTTCAAGCATTAGGAACGTTACCAGGTTATCACTAGGCTAGCTCCCCCACACTATTTCTTGCCCATATCTTCAGTCTTGGTAGCTCAATTAACCTCATCTTCTTCAGCTTTCAGAAAACTTGCATAGGGGTAATGCATCCTCCGGCTTCCACATCAACGTTATTACATAATGTGGACATATTACCCATCCTCTCTAAGGACAAAATCTCCAGAGAGACCGAGCACCATATGACAGGTATACTCTTGCATCTTGGGCAGTCGGACATTTCGAGTTCTTCCAAACAGTTAAATATATGAGGCTTTTCCACACTATTTTCTTCCCATATCTCCAGGCTTGGTAACTTACTCAACCTCATCTTTCAAACTTGGAAAAATTTGCAGAGGGGTAATGCATCCTCCACCTTCCACATCAAAGTTATTACATAATGTTGTCAGGTTATCCATCTTCTATAAGACCAAAATCTCTAGGGAGACCGAGAGCCATATTACAGGGATACTCTTGCATTTTGGGCAATCAAATATTTTGAGTTCTCTCAAGTAGTTAAACATCTCAGGTTTTCTCATCCATTGTGATATTTCTAGGCCCCCATACCCACGTATCTCTAACTTTTTGATATTACTATGAGGTTCTAAACCCTGAAGTACTTCTTCCACATTACATGCCATAGGCTTAGGCTCATCATCTATTTCTTAGCCCCAAGAGAACAACAACTCACTTAAATTTTGCTTCTGATTGAGATTGGCTTCTTTTGCATTTTCCCCACTTTTTATCTTGCTCAAATTTAATAGTTCCAACCTATTGCTAAGGTGTTGCAAGTCTTTGAGCTGCTCTATTCCAAGGCCATCTATAGTATCCACAAAAAAAATTGTTAACATATGAAAGTTCTTTAGTACGCCAAAGTTTGGAGACATACTTTTGAGATGAGCACTACTACAGAGATATAGATGGATGAGCTTTCTCAATCCTGACATGTCTCCTGGTAACTACAGCAGCATATGACAATGTATGAGGCTCAATGTGTGCAGGTTATGCATCATACATATTGATTCTCGCAACTTAGTGATGTTAGACCAAGAGAGGTGAAGATATCGTAGACGTTTCACATTTCTGGCCTTGCAATTGGCAACTGAAGAAGGGGAGCAATGCAATGCTCTTAGTGATCTCGATGCATGTAGCAACTCTTTTTAAACCTTGTGTGATTCTGAAGGAGCTAAGAGAGTGTGGAGGTTTGTTCTGCCTTTACATAGCCCACTAATTTGTTCCAATTCAGCCTCTGACATTTGCATGGCACAAACATTTTTAACAATTCTTTCTATCGAGTCAATTCTTCTATACTTGCACATTCATCTATGAGCCAAATCATGCATTTTACAGTCAATAGTCACATAACTGTGTGTAGCATAATTTGTGTGTGCACTCCTGCTTATCTAGGAGGAAGGACCTCCAAACTAACTCATCGAAAATGAATTCTCCTTTCCGTGTTAAATCCATTGTTCCTTCTCTTGAATAAAACCATTTGCCATCCATAGCTGGATCAACATGTTCCTGTCCATCTTATAGTCCTTGGGAAAAACTGCTAAGAATGCAAAACATTGCTCCATTTCAGATGATAGGTGGGTATAGCTCAACTTTAGGATGGAAATGATCTCATCTTTCCCTCTATCATTATCCCTAATATTACTTTCTTCGATGGCCTTCCATTCTTGTACTTGTTGATATGAACTTGGCAATCCACCCATTGTCTTGAGAGCAAGAGGCAGCCCCCTGCATTTGTTGACAGTACGTTTGCCAATGCCGACCAACTCTGCTTGCTCCTGCTCTACACCGTTGCCATATGCTTTCTTTGCAAATAATTCCCATGAATCTCGTTCACTCAGACATGCTAGCTTGTGGGGTTGAAGGGTCTGCATTATAGCGGCCACTTTCTGGCTTTGAGTTGTGACAACTATTACGCTTCCTGGTCCTCCAATAGAACACAAAAGAGGCTTCAGGACATCCTCCCACTTCCTCTCATCTTCATTCCACACATCATCAAGCACGAGCATAAACCTTTTTTGGCCAATGACTTGTTCAAGTCGCTTTTGCAATAGTTCAATGCTGCCAGGCAGGTCACAACTTCCATTTGTAGCCAACTCAATGATGGATTTGACAATAGCAATGGCATCAAAGTTGTCCGACACGCAGTGCCACATCTTCAACTGGAAATGCTGCTGGACCCCTTGGTCATTATACAACATCTTAGCAAGAGTTGTCTTGCCAAGACCTCCCATCCCAAAGATGGGCAGGACCTGCACCTTCAACTGATCTTGCTGGTCCAGCAGCAAGTTCGCCACCACTTCCTTATCATCATCTCTTCCAAAGATTTTGGTAGAGTCGTCCAGTTTTGAGTGTGTCTGCCGCCAAGAATGTCGCTGCTCCTCCCTATGTACAGAATTCTCCAGTCCATACTTGTTCATCTCCTCAACCAATTTATTGATCTTCTCGGGTACGTTCTTGAGTTTCTTTCTCATTTCAAAACAGAAGAGTAGCGGGCTGTGGTGCTTGATGTAGCCGAGTACCTTGCGGATAGTGGACTTGCCAATCTTAGACCGACAGCGCAGTGCCTCATACTGGAAGTCATCGAGCACGTCGTCGGCCTCGTAGGCGACAGACTTGAGCTCCTTCATCCAGCTCTTGACATAGTCGTTTGTCTCGCTCCTCTCCTCGGCGTTAGCAAGCTTGCACTCGACGGCTAGCAGATGGCGCTCCAGCGTTCGGTGGTCATCGTCGAGGCCACACATGTGGGTAATGGTCTCTACAAGTGCATCTGCGGCCTTGCCGGCCACGCCGCGCACTAGTGGGAGAAGCAGCGACTCTGCCATATTTTGAAGGTTGGAGGAAAAAGGAAATGCAGCGTATGAAAGTAGAGAGCTTAGCACTGATTGAACACGAACAACCTTTTAATACTCCTATTTCCTAGTTCCACAATAGCTTAGCTCTGAAAGAAGAGAGGTATATCTCTTGTATATCCCTCTTGTACGTACTTTTTCGGTACACATACATAAAAATTCCAGTGGGAATTTTGCTTGCTCTACAGCTAAAAAACCCAGGCCAAGGATTGAGCAGAGAATTCACCTTAACAACGCCCAGATTTGATCTTGTCCAAATTGGTGAAAGAGCAGCATACTGCTGCTCGTTCCTTCCCCGCCCCTGTGTGGAAGGAAGCAAATGGAGTTGTGTGGTTGCTTTTTTTCCGAAAAGGGGGTTCTCCCCGGCCTCTGCATCAGAGTGATGTACACGGCCATTTTATTAACCAAATAAAAAGGTTTCAAACAAGGTGTCAAAGTCTCCAACAGTAAAAAACTGAAAAGAAAGCTCACACAGAGCCAAAATAGGCTAGAAACACAAACTAGCCAATCAAAGACGCCACAACCGGCTGGCTAAAAATAGATAGGTAAACTAATTGTCTATCATATTACATGACCGCCATCCAAACCGGTTGAAGATATCCCGAGCTACCATCTCCCAGCGGATGGATCCAGTAACCAAATGCTCGCTGGCCTCCATCGGAGTGAGTAGCGATCACGAATGGATCAATGCCATGGCTCAGAAAATAACCTGCAAAACGTGAATACGTGATGTTCTGTTAAAAACCAAATCATTTCTGTAATTCCAAATAGTTCACAACAAAGCAAACTCCAACACAAATATGTCTCGCTAAGTCAGGCTCAATCCCATTAAGCCATGTCAAATAACGTGTTGACAGAATTCGGTGGAGTAATATTAAAAGCAATATGGACCGTTCGCCAAAGGACCTTGGAAGCAAATGGAGATAAGATCAAGGAGTCCAAGAGCTGTATGTTGACTGATAGACTGATACATCTACCTACCTGTGGCCCCTCATTTATTAGCAACCATACATCTTATTTAATATTTCTATAATTTCCTTAATTCTGTATACTTTCAAATATTCTGTCTTACCTATATGCAACTGTTTCTTCAGACCTTTTTAGCGTTGCCATTGTGTTAGTGTGGTGAATTATATTTTCTATGTTTATTTAATCTTCATAAGACTATTCTTTGTAGATGGTGTCTAATTGTTCACTTAGTACAAATAATAGTGGAAGGAAACATTTTGGTCAGGAAAAAAGACAGTGGAAGGGAATAAAGATGGAAAGTGTGCGGAACACTACCCTTTCACTCAATAAAGATGGAAAGCGCGTGAGGATTGATATATTCGTGTGGAAATGTTGTACTGGCCGACAGCACTTCCTTTTCACTCGGTAAATATTGCTATATCAATATTCAATCTAGGCTTGGAGTTTATCCTGCAACTTGCATATAAAAGCAATTTTCTGTACCACCATCACAAGTGACTCCAACCAACTAATGTTGAACAATAACCAACTTTGGGGATGCATTAATTTTCCAATTTGTAGATAGGACAATAAGCGAGACATGCATGCATCTGCTGTGAAGACTTGTTCTCACTTGTGTCCCTAATGGTTCTGCAGCAAATAGGCAAGACGTTGTTTTCGACCGGTCACTTGTTCCATGGCGTATGCACATGGACCGGTCACCTGCAACTCCATGTCACTCCCTTGCCTTAATGTCTTCTTATACTTGTTGTTTGTTTGGTCCATCTTCAGTTCCTCACACAAATCAGGTTGTCCCACCGGTCTACAGAACTTGGATATTTGCTATGACAATCTGCCATGTGGTGCATTACTTGGTTGATGCCCATCGAGAGTTCAAGACTAATCCACACTAGACATTCTTGATTCCTTATTATTTGCATTATTTTCAGATCCATTACCTTCTTGCATATCGGCATCTATGCAGCACATGCCAACAAGCTCTGTCGACGTGGTGCGTATATAGTTATCTAACAAGGCAGCACACATGTACGCAAGCAGGTATGCATCAATGGACATAGGCTCCCAATTATCTTTGATGGCGTGTCCGGAGTGTTGCCTCGGTCTGATTCGTTCAACGATAAGGGCTTCACTTTTGGTGAGCCATCTTGGAGGTCCGCAAAGCTGCATATCAGCGATGGAGCCGCGTCGAGCTCGGGTGAGGAGGTGATTCGTCATTCTTTTCTTCGGTGGTTGCTGTGGTGGTGCCGGAGGCAGGTGACGGGCGTTGGTGTCAAGCTCGGAGATGTTCTGCTATCTTTTCGGTTTTGTCATGTCGATTTTTACGTGACTTTTACTTTGTTCTTTATGATATGGATGAGACATGTATTACCATGCAAAAAAAATATCTTCTCGCTCCATACTACTTAGACCACACGCAAGCACCCATTAAAAGTGATTTTCTATGCATATCCATTTCATCCCATATCAAAGATTTTTTATCTCGATTTTCTTATGTATAGCACATGCATACCAGAGAAGCCACGTTCGCTGAATTATCATGTATCACACAGTTAGGCATTAGTAGAATAAGATCATACAGCTGCCTGTTATTTTAGATATTATCATGTATAGTAAGGTGCCGTTTTGCAGCGACACGAAAAGTTTGAACATAACCAACACGGTTTTATCTAGCATTCATGAGACTCGCCTTTAAATTGTTATCTTTTCACACACAGAGACATACGAGACCATGAGGGCATCCTATAGACAAAAAGGACATTCGAGGAATTAAAAAATTGAATCGTCTCCTCAGAACAAACTGCAAGCTTTGAAATCATTGAAGTGTTGGCAATTCCGTAATCTCTTAACATAGGCTGCCGCTATCATGCTTCTCAGGTAGGCTAATCCTTTTCTCCATCAAAATTTTCAAATAGTGAGTAGCACAGAACCTAAACAAATGCATAATATTGTCTGTTGATGTCCCCGCCATGAAGGCCCGGAGGCTCTGTTCATAATCACCTCTCGCCATATCCGGGGAGGATTATGGTCTAGGCAGAGCGGCGCATGATGTTGTAGTGTGGCTATTGTCAATGACACTGTTGTGATGTTGTTCACTTTGTCCCGGTGGTTCGAAAGCGACGCGATGACATCATGTGTTTTCTCCTCAGCGAGTTTATTATTTTTCATAGACCTCATGGTATAAATATAAGTTCTTGATTCTTCTTCCACTCCGATCATATTCATCTGCATCTACTTGGTTGAAATATATTTTTTCCCGAGTGAATACCTTGCTTCTGTACAACTGCTATGTAGGAGCAGAGTACCGAGGGCTGAGGAGAAAAGTGCTGGAGAGGGTGGCATGCATCAGGATGAGAGGGAAGAAAATGCTGGAGGATGTAAACATTTGGAGGAACATGTATAGAGTGGTTCTTTGTGGAAAAAATGTATAGAGTGCATTCTGGTGCTATGGTTGTGCCTGAAGATGTTAGCGGCAGAAGCAATTGCTACGTAACTGTGAATAGCCTGGTGTGATGCCTCTTTTGATCCTGCTTTGTTTATTTTGCAAATCATTAATATATTTCCATCGCTTTTCTAATCTCCAGCAGTTTTGTGTTGTTGATAATAAGTAGTTTATGCAGTTGTGATCATGAAATTGTATTGAGCAGAATAGGAAAATGTTAGTATTTCATTAACGGAATAGATTATGCCTTAACTCTGTTCAAGATAGGTCTCAGAAGTGATCATGGAATTTTACTTAGGAAAAAGGTTATTTGTTTAATGGAATAGATTATGCCTGAACTCTGCTTGAATATGCCGTTACTCTGCTCGAGACAAGTCTCAACTCAAATATTTTGGAAAGAAAATGAGTGCCACATGAATTATAAGTTTATAACACAACATGTCTCATCCGAAATTGTGCTTATAAGGTGTTTGATCTGAAAACTACGTTCATGTATATATAAAAGGTTGATGAGATCATCATATGAAAATGCGTGAGCGTTTCTAAATTACATAGTACAGTATTATCATTTTTTGTTTGCATTATTTTCCAGTTCTCTTGAGGTATTATTCGGCAATCCCGCCTACCAGATAAATGAGGGGTTTTGTTTACTTAACGTGGTTGCCAGATTAATGAAGCCATGGTTTCTGTTAGCTGTTTTTTCCCACTACCTAAACAACAACTTATCTTTTTACCTACAATATACACTACTCCTCAATTACGTACAAGACACGCATGGTGTTGATGTTCTGAGGGCTAATGTTCATTTCTAGAGGAAAATAATCTCCGATTTCTAACTGAACTATAATCACATCTAGGTATGGTTGTGGAACAAAGAACATATTACACATCAATGTAATCCCTTCTAGATTGCTGTAGAACAACTATAGTTTATGTCTCTATTGCAACGCACGGGCAATTTTCCTAGTGATAACTAAAACTAAGAAAATATATTTCATTTATTAGGTGTTAGCTAAAACTGAAAAATATATATGATTTATTGTGTTTGATTATTGTATAATTGTAAATTATTTATTAAACAGAAATAGCTTAACATTATTTAAATTATCATGCATGTTTGCTTGTTAGTGACTTTTTCCTATGCATTGTTGCATGTTGGGTGGGCTTTTTCATGCATGTTGCATAGTGAAGTGGCATACTTGAAAGTTGAGAGAAATAAGTTAGTGGGAGATATAGCACATTCGTTAATATTTTTTAAAATTCATGCACCTTTTTGAATCTACAAATATTTGTGAAAGTTCATGATTTTTTTCGAAATTTGGGTCAATTTTTTAAAATCTTGAACATTTTTTAATTCATGAGAATTTTTTGAAAATTGGGAAATATGAAATTCATGATGTTTTTTGAATTCATGGTCATTTCCTTAAATCCAAGAACACTTTTATTAAAGTTCTAGGCATTTTTAAATTCATGAAAAATTTGAAATTCATGATAATATTGTTTAAAATTCGAAATCATTTTAAAATTCCTTACTTATTAAAATTTGATTGTAATTTAATTGAAA